TCTGGACTGAGGCGTTCACCCCTGGAGCGAAATCTTTCAATCACCAGAGAAAATTGTCATTTATTAAATATTTAACGGTTACGATGGTGTTTGGGCGCCAGGAATTTCTGTTCAATCTTTTTCCTCTTCCTTTGGTAGAGCCGTTCCAATAAAGAAGATCCCGAGCAACTGCGGTTAAAGCAGAAGGCGAAAGAGGTAGGACTTCCCGTTACCATGCTTGCCTTTGTGTGCTGAGAGGAGGTTGGCAGCCTTGTCCTGGCAATTAGGTCAGGGTTTATTTTGCTGCTGCATACCATTTGCAGAGGCCTTGGGGAAGGACAGGAACTGCCACAGGCAAGGGCAGTGCTTCAAATAAGGTCAATGAATTATGTGCTCTCTCTTTTTTAACATTTTATTTTCCTGGTTTCAGTCCGGTCTAGAAACGGTCCTTTGTAAACTGCAGCAGTACACTTGGTAGGAATATAATGTGGGATTAGGGGGGGGAAAAAAAACCCGAAACTTTGAGATTTAGCATCTGGGACTGTACAATAGGCTACATTTTTCCAGGGTAATTGTTCGTTTTGTAAATCTGATACTGCTTATAATTCTTTGGCTGGGAGGCGGTACTGGGATTTAGTTTTAAATGGAAAACGCCTCTGGCTTTTAATTTTCTGGGCCCAGCAGTTTTCTGTTCTGGAATGGAGCCCTTGTTTCACACAGTTCATGTTTAGCTGCAGGGGTTTTAGTTTATAGCTTAGACTGGTTAAGCTTTTACTCCCAGAGGCCTCTGCATAGCAACTGTAGAAATCAACAAATAAGTTCATTTATGTCTGCAGCCTCCTCTCAGTAGCTGACTTTTTACATTTCCCAATATCCATTTCCTGACTTTTCTAGCCTGAGAGAAAAAAGCTCCACTAATTGGAGCTTATTTTAATTGAGCCTTAATATTGGATCTCACTGGAGTTGCCCCCAGAGCTACTGGGAACAGAATGAAATGAAAGTACCTAAGGTTGAAGATGTGTGTGCGTGTGTATGTGTGTGTGAAATTTTTCACTTGACCTACAGATTCTTTTCCCTGCTGAATAAATCATCAAGCCTGTTCACATTTCTGATTAAGGATCTGACAGCAGACGATAATAAAGACAATTGAGGTGTGAGACGTGTGATACAGAGCTGAAGAAATTGGTTTCTATAGTTACTTGACTGATTTCATGCAATTTTTAAGGATCTTTGTGCTAAATGAGAGTGATTTTCTGAGCAACCTTTTTCCTTAACTGTGCCTCTTGAACTATGAAATTTGTTGTTGCTTAACATTGCTGCACTTGGCTCCTAGGTGCCAGCAGCAGCAGCAGGTTATTTATGAATGCTTTAAAGGCCCTTATTGTTTGGATTAATGTAGGAGCCCAGGCAAAACAAATGGAAATCCAGTAAAATAGTATTAGAATCAGTGCTCTGGATTTGCACCATAGTAGGAGAAATTCGTAAAGAGGAGGGAGAAGGAACTTACCTCACTATCTGTCTTTTAATGCTTTCTTTCTGCTTACAACTCTTTTCTTCATGCTTGCAATCTGTGAGTACAGAGCTGCCCTAAAGCCCTTCCCGGTTTGCCTCTAGTGCCACCAGGATCAACAAGCAGCGGGTGATGCTAACTTGTCTTGTTTTGTAGGTGGCTTTACCTCTGCGTCATCTGGTTGTTTCTAGAGGTTCTTTCTTCTGCTGTAACACTGCAAAGCAATTCGTTTATGCAATTTCTTTTCTCTTTTCATCTGAACAATAACGTGTAGGATCTTGAAAAATATTCCGTGATTTGGATTATTTAGAACAGGAAGAAGTCAGATGTGTGTGTGCTTTGGATCACTTTTTAGATTGGTTGGTATTGTTAGTGAGATCTCTTTTAAAAACTGACATATTTTAAAAACTGAGATATTGGTGTGCAAAAGAGGAGCCAGCAGAGTGGGGAAAGGTGTCTGAGATGAGTACTTAATGTTCTGTTAAGCGCTTGAGTTCGCATCCTTCAGTGCATCTTACCTTGTGCCAGACTAACAGAGCCTTCATCGCGCCTGTCCTGCCTATTTCTGCACGCTGCGCTGCTCCCAGGGCGACGGTCCCCAAGTGCTTCGCCAACAGAGGAGGTGGCAGATGGGCCTCTTGGGGCAGCACGGATCTCTGTGTCAGTATTGCTTTGCCCTCTGTCCTGCTGCTTTGCTCTCTGGAGAATGAGGCAGCCAGAACGTCTTCGGGCTTCACATGCCACGTGGGGAAACCCACCTTCTGTGCCAGGGGTGCTTTCTTAGCCTGTGAGACCATCTCAAGCTTGAGTGGGAATGAACCCAAATGCAGCCAAGTCAGTTTTGGTGCTTTATTGACTCTCATAAATCCAGGATGTGCTGTCCTCCAGCAGCTGGAGGCAACATCTTAACATTGCTGGAAGTACATCCAGAGATTCAGCAGTGCATTCTTTTATCCAAGAGGCTATACGTAATTGCTGTGGCCTTTTCGTCCCTTTTTGCGTGACCTATTGCCTCAAACTTCCCCTATGCCAAGTCATTTACTTTGCTGTATTCTTAGTCTGTGTAGCTTGCTATGCATTAAGTCTTCATTTACTTCCCCCTTTCACCTGTTTCGCCAGATTTTAATACCTATGGAAAGCGCACATTCCTTCTGAGGCAGCTGCAAGGCTTGCCCCAAGCTGCTCCTTTGTGCACTCAAGAACTTTGTCCTTGCTCACCTCTCTGTGGGCCAGCTCTTTGTGCAACATCCTTCCTGAAGTCTGGTTAAATTACCCCTGCCTTTCATTCAGCCTTACCTGTCACTTCAAGCTGAGAGGATACAGTCCTCGCATTGTCCCTGATGCTTGCGCTCTTAAACCATAACTTTTTTTAGGTGCTCTCTGCTATTTCCTGTTCTACTTTCAACTCTACTTCCAGTTACAAAGAAAATGTTCAGTTGGTGCAATTCTTGTAGCTGTATTTATGGTTTATCTCAGGCTTCGTTCCTTTTCTGAAGTGAGATCACTTAAATGGAGCAGGTGTAGGATGCTGTCAAATGCACAAGCATGCCCTGTGAACAGTGCATCCCAGAAGACTGTAAAAATGTCAGTATTGAACAGTGTGTACTGTAAATTTAAATATAAACCCTGGTCTTCTGCACTGCTGCCTTTCATCTTCAGAAGTGACTGTGCTTGTACTGTGGCTTCAGGAAGCTTCAGGCTGAGGCTGAGCAAACCTTTCGGGTTGTGTGTGTGCAAGGCTGCTGCTTGGGGTTGAGGAGGTGAGCAGGTATCGTACTGAGAGCACCTTCGCTTCTGCCACCATAGCTACCTTCAGCTCTGCTCGACCTCGTGGCACCTTGCAGCGTCTGGTGGTGGATGAAGGTTGGTGGGACAAGCACCTGCTGGACGGCACTCGCCTGCCCGGTCCTTGCTCTTCCAGCAGCTCTGTTCATGTAAGGCTGCACAGGTCTTCCCAGCCCCCTGTTCCCGCCTCCTTCATGCACTTGTGCGTGTCACCATTACGGTTTGACACAGAAGTCACAAGACGGCAGTAGATGAGGTGCTGAGAAAATTCAGTACCTTTAGTACCAACTGACTGGGAGGAAAATGGCAAGTGTTAGGGTATCTTTGTGGAGGCAAAACAAACCCTATCAAAATATCAAACAAAAAGTCTGCGTGATTCCAGCGAGTTCCTGGGTGTTATATAGTAATGACTGAAATTTGGTTGTTCTGTAGTATCTTTTTCAACAGTAAACTTTTCTTTCCTATTTCATGTGTCCATCGTTCCCTTATTTCTTCTCACATTCTCAGGTAACAAGTCACTGTAACCTGGTTCTTTCTGCTCTTCCTACTGTCTCCAACCCACATTTTCAAGCTGTTTGTTTCCTTTTTCCTCCCCACACCTCTTGTGCTGCTTCTGTATTTAGTCTGCTGGACCTGATGGTTCAAATTCTTTAAGACCACTCTTGTGGTAGGGGAAAAAAGAAACTCCCTAGTTAACCGTAACCTCTCAAAAAAGCAAACAAGATGCTGCGAGCAAAATAAGATCTCATTGCGATCAATTGGCTTCTTATGAGCCTTCAGTGACATCCTGACAGCTTCTGCTTAATTATCTGATTTATATTATCTTTATTGTTCTGTAGTGTTTCTTACCTGCTTCTGCATGTTTTGGAAAAAAAAAACCAAAACAACACGGTTATTGAACAGACATAAATTCTGTTACTCTGCAGTGCAGCCCTACAAATAACAAAGGGCTGTTATCAGAGATTTGGAGTCTTGCAGAAAGTCAGGGGTGGAAATCCTGTGAAGTGTTAGGTTATTGAGCGAGCTAATAAGTGACCCAAATCCCTGTTTGTGGCATTCATGTTGGTGTTTTGAAGGAGCATGAGAAAAGAGCAGCATCGGATACCCTAAAACCAGCTGGCTGGAAGATGATAGCAACTACCTCTATCTAGTGAGAAACAAAAGCCCTCCAAAACTCCATGAAGCCAGTTCTTGGATTTTCAAACAGCCTTTCCTAAGTTTCTATGAGGGGCTATAATGGACATGTAACCAGCTGAAAGCGTGGCCTTGGATTAGAAACTTGCTAAGAGAGGAAATTTTAGGACTAAAAGTATGACAGAAAGATGATAATGGAGAGCCAGAGTTCTGTGCCAAGAGCAAGTGTTGGATGGACTGCACGGTGGGATGGAGAAACGTGCAGGTGGAAGCCAAGTCTTAAACGTTCTCTAGCTTTGAGACCTCAGGAGTGAGTGAAGGAATAGGCAGTGTTACAGCAGCTGAAAATCACTCAAAATACCATGTGTTTGGAAAAACTGTGGTTGGTTTTACAGTAATGTCTTGCCAGGGCTGGCCCCTGTCCTGTGGTGGTGATGCAGGTCTGCTGACAGTCACTGAGCAGTCCTCTCGCGGGTGGTTGCATCTGAAACCGAAACGACAGAATATGTTGCTTGGGCGTGGGGTTCTGGAGCCTTTTGCTCGGCCTTGCCGCAGCGGGAGCCGGGGCAGCGTCCGCAGAGCGCTGGGTGCTGGGTGCCAGGCGCTTCCCGGGACGGCCAAGTGAGGCCAGCTCATGGGACTGCGCAGGGCAAGCGAACTCCGGAGGCTCTGGGATACGCAGAAATGCATCAGTATCGGTTAAACAAAACAAAACTGGTAAAAGGCAATGCACACTCCACACCTGGGAAATTCTTAACAAGAATGGGCAAAATAAGGGATCAGGAAG